CGCCGAGCCGCGCCGTGGTGCGTGGGGCTCGGGTACGCGCCCCCCATCGGGAAATAGGAAAATTACCCGGGTTGGGGGGTGCCGGGAGGAGCCTCTGCCCCTCCCCTTTGCCTGGGCCGCCCGCCCCGCACCCTCCGCATGACCTAGACTCCCTGCCCTCTGCCTCCTCCTCCCAGCAGCCACCCCCGGAGGGAGCGGGGAGAAGGCTCAGATAGGACCCCGCCCCCCCATTAAAAACACACACACACACACACACACAAACTGACTCCTGACCTTTCTCGGCCTCCTGGGTCCGCCGAGGAACCTGCAGCCTCAGGCCTCCGCCGCCCGCTCCGGATTGCGGGGCGACCGGGCGCGGGTCCAAAGGCGGGGCGGGGAGGGGCGGGGGGGAGGCGGGGGCCTTTAAGAGGCGCGGCGGGCCGGGGCCAACCCAGACGCGGGCAGCACCCAGCCTTGCCAACGCCGCGGGACTCCGGCAGCCCCGCAGCGCTCCGGCTTCGCCTTCCCTCGGGATCGCCCTCCGCAGCGATGGACGGAGACGGGGACCCAGGTAGCCGGGCCCGCGCGCTCAGTCTGGGAGGGGAGAGCGGGACCGGCGGGCGAGCGCTGGAGAGATGCGGGGTAGCGGTGGGGAGGTGGGCAGCCCAAACCCAGCGCCGCAAACTTTTACCTAAGAAAGTCCTTGAGACCGTCTCTAGAGTGCAGTCCTCTGTCTGGTATCTTGGTTTGGCTGGAGGCCTCGAGAGGTGACAGGCAGGGAGGGAGGACTCCTGGTCCCATTTACCCAGGAGACAGCAGAGGCGAAATCCCACGTTCCCACCTCCGGCTTTCCGAGGTCTATAGGGCTGGAGCCTGGGACGCATCTGGGATGCAGGAGGCTGCAAGCCCTCTTCTTCCGTCAACTTCTTCCATTTGCCAGCTCTGGCCGGTGAGCTGCCTGAATCCTCATGGATATCTTGGGGTTACCAGCCTCTCCCCACCCCATCCCAGCTTTCCTCCTGGGTTCCCTTGTCTGGAGGGGCCATCCTTCATCTGGGTGGCCAGTTGCCCAGTGGGGACCAGGCCAGCAGTGAGGGAGGTTGGAGCACCAGCTCTTGCCAATGCTCAGGGCCTTCTGAGACTGCCCCGTCATCTTGTCTGGCACCAAGACCCCCCCCTCCTCATGCTTTGAGCTGGCTGGGCCTGGAGGGGTTGCCCGCTGAGTCAGGGTGGGAGCAAGCAGACTCCCCCGCGCCCCCCCGCCAACCCCTTCCTCAGCAGGCCCATCTGGGAGTGGGCACTGCTTGGGGGAGGCCATGGGAAACAGACTGATGCCTGCTCAGGTCGCCCAGCCCCCGCCTCCCAGCCCTGAAAATCCTAGCGCCTTCAGCTCCCACTCCCAATCCTCCGGTCCCCTTGCCACACCCTTTACGGGCCCCAGAATGGACTCCTGCTTTTCTCAGGGCCCAGCTATTCCCTGGACTCCAGGGCCCAATCCAGGTGCATGAATCAGCCTTGGAGGCAGTTTCCAGGGCCCAGATAACTTTCCGACAGCAACAATGTGGGGAGTTGTGTGTGCCCGAGCGGGGGATGGGGGGCCGTAATCAGATCTGGGGCCTCAAGTGCCAGGCCTGGGGCCAGGAGAGGGGACTGGGCGAGGTGCACCTTTCCGGGGAGCATCAGGTGTCCACCAGGGCCAGGGTAGGGGTGGAGAGGTGAGGACACCGGGCCCTGCTCCCCAGAGAGCTGTGGGCAGCAGGATGGGCAGGTGATATGGCTTCAGGGCCTGGCATTTTCCTCTCTGACTGACAGTGCTTCTGCAGTGTGACTTGGGCAAACCCAGGAAGTGTCTCTGGGCCTTAGTTTTCCTCTTCGCCAAAAGGAAGGCGGTAAAGCCCCATGTCATAAAGATGTGGCAAAAAAAAAAAAAAAAACAACAACACACAACAAAAAAAAAACCCCACACAAACAAACAAAAAACTAATAATGAAGGGAATAACAAGATTCACTAAATAAGATCTACGGAGGACTCACTGGGTGCTCTGAGCTCTGAAGAGGTAAACCCTGATTCAGTTATCAAGGGTCTGACTGTGGGGAGGGGGAAAATTCTGCATGTGAGGAGGTAGAGGGCTGGTAGGTTGGGCAACACCCAGTCTCGGGTCCAGGCCCTGCCTGTTCCCTCCCCCAGTGCTTGGCTTTTCAGGGTTCAGCTCTTGGGAACCCCCCATCCTAAGTCGGAAAGCTGTCCCCCCCCATCACCCAGAATGGCCCCATTTCCTCCCCACTGTCTCTCCCTCCTCCAGAGACACTGGGCACTTGGTATCTGCTTACTCAAGGCTTCAATGGCCTGGCTGGGGCCGGCTGGGATCCCGGAGATAGTCCAGCCTGCAGCTCCTGCGATCTGTCCACCGAGAATGCCCTTGCCTCTCCTCAGGGGGCTTGAACATCAACACTGTCTGAATGGCCTGGCATTCCCATTTTATAGATGGAAAACTGAGGGCCAGAAGTGAGAAAAACCTTCCCATCCCAAACACTTATTACCTCTCCCTGTTCGACACACACACACACACACACACACACACACGCGTGCACACACACACACACTCACATGATCTCTTTTAATGAGCCCCCCTGCCCCCATTCCCAATTCAAAGATTCCTGTCCCCTTCCCCTCGGGCCTCGGATTCCAATGTCCCCTCCCTAATACTAGCAGGGTGACCGTTGGCAAGTTACTCCACATCTCTAAGCCTGAGCAATTTCACCTACAGAATCAAAATCAAGATAGTGCCTCCTAATCCAATGAATTATGTTTTTGATGTGTGATGGTTAAAGGTGGCTCTGGGGCCAGGCTGCCTGGCTTCAAATCCAGGCTCCAACCACAGTGTGGTCCTCAGCTGTTTCACTTCTCTGTGCCCGAGGTTCCTCATCAGTGAATCCTGGACAACAATAGGGAAAAAACCTCAGAGATGCTTGGGGCTATAAAGAGTAAATGGCACTGGCCGGTTTGGCTCAATGGATAGAGCATCGACCTGCGGACTAAAGGGTCCCGGGTTCGATTCCCATCAAGGGCACATGCCCAGGTTGCAGGCTCGATCCCCAGTAGGGGGCGTGCAGGAGGCAGCCGATCCACGATTCTCTCTCATCATTGAGGTTTCTAACTCTCTCTCCCTCTGCCTTCCTCTCTGAAATCAATAAAAAAATATTTTTTTTTTAAAAAAGAGTAAATGAACTTAAAATGCTCAAAAAGGGCCTATACTTGCTAAGTGCCCAATAAACATTAGCTGCTGACAGTGTGCCAGATGCCAGGCACTGGGGATGAAGCAGTGAGTTTCCCAGACCTTGTTCCTGCCCTCATGTCCTCAGTCTGGTCCTAAGAAAGGTGTTTTATAAGCCATCACACACTGGGACAAAACCTGGGAAGGACTGGAACTCCGGGGTGAGAGGATAACTCAGGGGGTAAATCCAAGAGGGCTTCCACGAGGAGGTGACAGGAGCAGGGATCTCAGAGGGTGGTTGGAAGGATTAAAGAAGTTCATATGTGAAAGTGAAACGTGAGGCAATCCTGTTCATCATATCAGTTGCTGTCATCTGCGCAGGTATGGGGTGTACTGGCTCTACAGGGGAAACTGAGGCCTCTGAGGCGGCTCTTTGTACTTGATGCTGGCCTGTGGCCCTGGTCCCCGGGGAGGTCCCCAGGGGGCTCCTCCACTGGGCACCCGTTTCTGGTCTCAGGATCTCTGGCCCCAGCTGCCGATTGTCCGAGGGTGGGTGGGGGCGGATGCCTGCCGCATCTGGGTTCTGGGGCGTGCAAGGGGACAGACAGTCTAGGGGGGAGTCACCACCTCCTCACCCCTTCATCCCCGCAGAGAGCATGGGCCAGCCTGAGGAGGCGAGCTCGGATGAGCAGCAGGAGGAGGGGTGCGTGTGCGTCCCGGAGGCGAGCGGCGGGGAGGAGGAGGAGACGGCGTACCTGGACGAGCTGCCCGAGCCGCTGCTGCTGCGCGTGCTGGCCGAGCTGCCGGCCGCCGAGCTGGTGCAGGCCTGCCGCCTGGTGTGCCTGCGCTGGAAGGAGCTGGTGGACGGCGCCCCCCTGTGGCTGCTCAAGTGCCAGCAAGAGGGGCTGGTGCCGGAGGGCGGCTCGGAGGACGAGCGTGACCACTGGCAGCAGTTCTACTTCCTGAGCAAGAGGCGGCGCAACTTGCTGCGAAACCCGTGCGGGGAAGGTGAGGGTCAGGCTGTGTGAGCCTGTGGCTGGGGGGCTCAGTCTGCTCCTCCGGAAAATGGGCCACAGCCAATGCCCGCCTGCTCGGAGGGTTCGCTGAGATAAAGCGCGAGGCACAATGCCCAGCACAGAAGAGCCCCCATAATCTCTGCTCCGGGGGGGGGGGGGGCTCTTTCCCAGGTTCTTCCACGACCCTCCCAGGGGGGAGAGAGAATCTGGGACAAACAGGAAGTGCCTGCCATCCAACCCCGCTGTACCGGTTGGCCCAGCACCTGATTCAGGGGCCAGAGCCAGCGCTGTCACACCCTCGGCGGGGACCGGGTGACGAGGGTGGGGCTGTCCTGTTCCCGCAGAGGACTTGGAGGGCTGGTGCGACGTGGAGCACGGCGGGGACGGCTGGAGGGTGGAGGAGCTGCCCGGAGACTGTGGGATGGAATTCGTCCACGACGAGAGCGTCAAGAAGTTCTTCGCCTCCTCCTTCGAGTAAGGAGAAGCGGGGTGGGCGGGAAGGGGGAGAAGGGGCACTCCACTTCCTCCTAACGATTATTCCCTAGGACCAATAATGAATAACAAGTTGGGTACAACCACATAAGTGCTATTGATAAGTGAAGCTGACCCTGCTGTTTTCCTCTTGTATCCATTCTACATAATGCCCAGGACAATCTAGGGGCGGGGAGGGATAGGAGGACAAAGGAATGAACGCTAGT